TGCCCTTTGGAGGTCTCTTCCAGTGGAGTCTTTTTTCTCTGGAGGCCTTTGAACTGAGGCTGGATGTCCATCTGTTTGGAGGGCTTTGATTGTGTCTTCCTGCTCAGCAGAAGGAGGTCAGACTAGATGCCCTTTGGAGGTCTCTTCCAGTGGAGTATTTTTAACTGGAGGTCTTTGAACTGAGAATGGATGTCCATCTGTTGGGAGGGCTTTGACTGTGTCTTCCTGCTCAGCAGAAGGAGGTCAGACTAGATGCCCTTTGGGAGTCTCTTCCAGTGGAGTCTCTTTCTATGGAGGCCTTTGAACTGAGACTGGATGTCCATCTGTTTGGAGGGCTTTGACTGTGTCTTCCTGTCCAGCAAAAGGAGGTTAGACTAGAGGCCCTTTGGGGTTCTCTTCGATTGAACTCGCTTTCTCTTGAGGTTTTCAAACAGAGGCTGGATGTCCATCTGTTTGGAGGGCTTTGACTGTATCTTCCTGTCTCCAGATGCCCTTTGGGAGTCTCTTCCAGTGGAGTCTCTTTCTCTGGAGGCCTTTGAACTGAGGATGGATGTCCATCTGCTGAGAGGGCTTTGACTGTGTCTTCCTGCCCAGCAGAAGGAGGTTAGGCTAAAGGCCAATTAGGGTCTCTTCAATTGAAGTCTCTTTCTCTGGAGGCCTTTGAACTGAGGCTGGATGCCCATCTGTTGGGAGGGCTTTGAGTGTGTCTTCCTGCCCAGCAGAAGGTCAGACTAGATGCCCTTTGGAGGTCTCTTCTGTGGAGTCTCTTTCTCTGGCGGTCTTTGAACTAAGGCTGGATGTCCATCTGTTGGGAGGGCTTTGACTGTGTCTTCCTGTCTCCAGATGCCCTTTGGGAGTCTCTTCCAGTGGTGTCTCTATCTCTGGAAGCCTTTTAACTGAGGCTGGATGTCAATCCGTTTGGAGATCTTTGAGTGTGTCTTCCTGTCCAGCAGAAGGAGGTCAGACTAGATGCCCTTTGGAGGTCTCTTCCAGTGGAGTCTCTTTCTCTGGAGGTCTTTGAACTGAGGCAGGATGGTCATCTGTTGGGAGGGCTTTGACTGTATCTTTTTGCCCAGCAGAAGGAGGTTGATGAGATGCTCTGCCATAAAGAGAGCCCAAGTGTGCAGAGCACAAGGGAGCTCTCCAAGGTGGAGAGCCCTTTCCACCTTGGAGAATCTCATTAGAGAGCAGACTAAAATCCAGAGTTAATCACATATTCAAATTACAAGGAAGGAGGTTCCATATCAATATTATAGCCAGGCATGGGCCAACTTTGGCCCTCCCTCCAGGTGTTTTGGACTTCAACTCCCACAATTCCTAACAGCCGGTAGGCTGTTAGGAATTGTGGGAGTTGAAGTCCAAAACACCTGGAGGGAGGGCCAAAGTTGGCCCATGCCTGCAATAGACTCTCAGTTGAAGCAGTATCAAACTGCATTAAATGGTCAGTGTAGATGTACCTTCAGAGAAATCCAATGCCATTGAGGGCTACTAACACATTGTCCAAATCCCATTAGCAAATGCTCAGAATGCTCCGCTGACAAAGGGTTCATTGTCCCTTGCAACTCTCCTTGGTATTTACTCCATGTTTAGCAAACACAGATGGAAGGCTACCCGTCACAGTTCTTTGCAGCTTTCCTGGGCAAACTCAATGCTCCTGTGGAAGATGTGGGCTGAGACCATGCCTTCTCCCTGGAAGCTTTCCTTGCACCTACAGTCAGCTTTGCTTGCATTTATGGCTTTACTTGCATCTGCACCCTGCTTTGCTTGCATTTATGGCTCTGCTTGCATATGCAACCTGCTTTGTTTGCATATCTGGCTTTGGTTGCATCTACAGCCTGCTTTGCTTGCATTTATGGCTTTACTTGCATCTACAGCCTGCTTTGCTTGCATTTATGGCTCTGCTTGCATCTGCACCCCACTTTGCTTGCATTTATGGCTCTGCTTGCACCTACAGTCAGCTTTGCTTGCATTTCTGGCTTTGGTTGCATCTGCACACTGCTTTGCTTGCATTTCTGGCTTTGGTTGCATCTGCACACTGCTTTGCTTGCATTTCTGGCTTTGGCTGCTTTGCTTGCATTTATGGCTCTGCTTGCATCTGCACCTTGCTTTGGTTGCATTTCAGGCTTCGGTTGCACCTACAGCCTGCTTTGCTTGCATTTATGGTTTTACTTTATCTGCAGCCTGCTTTGCTTGCATTTATGGCTTTACTTGCATCTGCACCCTGCTTTGCTTGCATTTATGGCTCTGCTTGCATCTGCAGCCTGCTTTGCTTGCATTTATGGTTTTACTTGCACCTACAGTCAGCTTTGCTTGCATTTATGGCTTTACTTTATCTGCAGCCTGCTTTGCTTGCATTTCTGGCTTTGCTTGCATCTCCACCCTGCTTTGCTTGCATTTCTGGCTTTGCTTGCACCTAGAGCCTGCTTTGATGCATTTATGGCTTTAGTTGCATCTACAGCCTGATTTGCTTGCATTTATGACTCTCTGCATCTGCACCTTGCTTTGCTTGCATTTCTGGCTTTGGTTGCACCTAGAGCCTGCTTTGATGCATTTATGGTTTTACTTGCACCTACAGTCAGCTTTGCTTGCATTTATGGCTTTACTTTATCTGCAGCCTGCTTTGCTTGCATTTCTGGCTTTGCTTGCATCTCCACCCTGCTTTGCTTGCATTTCTGGCTTTGGTTGCACCTAGAGCCTGCTTTGCTTGCATTTATGGCTCTGCTTGCATCTGCACCTTGCTTTGCTTGCATTTATGGCTTTGGTTGCATCTGCAATCTGCTTTGCTTGTATTTCTGGCTTTGGATGCACCTAGAGCCTGCTTTGATGCATTTATGGTTTTACTTGCACCTACAGTCAGCTTTGCTTGCATTTATGGCTTTACTTTATCTGCAGCCTGCTTTGCTTGCATTTCTGGCTTTGCTTGCATCTCCACCCTGCTTTGCTTGCATTTCTGGCTTTGGTTGCACCTAGAGCCTGCTTTGCTTGCATTTATGGCTCTGCTTGCATCTGCACCTTGCTTTGCTTGCATTTATGGCTTTGGTCGCATCTGCAATCTGCTTTGCTTGTATTTCTGGCTTTGGATGCACCTAGAGCCTGCTTTGATGCATTTATGGTTTTACTTGCACCTACAGTCAGCTTTGCTTGCATTTATGGCTTTACTTTATCTGCAGCCTGCTTTGCTTGCATTTCTGGCTTTGCTTGCATCTCCACCCTGCTTTGCTTGCATTTCTGGCTTTGGTTGCACCTAGAGCCTGCTTTGCTTGCATTTATGGCTCTGCTTGCATCTGCACCTTGCTTTGCTTGCATTTATGGCTTTGGTCGCATCTGCAATCTGCTTTGCTTGTATTTCTGGCTTTGGATGCACCTAGAGCCTGCTTTGATGCATTTATGGTTTTACTTGCACCTACAGTCAGCTTTGCTTGCATTTATGGCTTTACTTTATCTGCAGCCTGCTTTGCTTGCATTTCTGGCTTTGCTTGCATCTCCACCCTGCTTTGCTTGCATTTCTGGCTTTGGTTGCACCTAGAGCCTGCTTTGCTTGCATTTATGGCTCTGCTTGCATCTGCACCTTGCTTTGCTTGCATTTATGGCTTTGGTCGCATCTGCAATCTGCTTTGCTTGTATTTCTGGCTTTGGATGCACCTAGAGCCTGCTTTGCTTGCATGTATGGCTTTGCTTGCATCTACAGCCTGCTTTGCTTGCATTTATGGATCTGCTTGCATCTGCACCTTGCTTTGCTTGCATTTCTGGCGTTGGTTGCATCTATATCCTAGTTTGCTTGCTTACTTAGGGCTGCATGTTCTCCTGCAGTGAGGACATCGGTTTCCAGGCGGGAGGGAGTCCCAGTTGGGGTTGGCTTGACGTGCCTTCCTCTTCACTTCACTTCACTTCATTTCTTAATTAGTCGCTCTCCACCAAGGTGCTCCGAGCGACTTACAATTTAAAATAGCATTTACACAATATAAAAACATTCAACATAAAAACATACAACAGTGACTATTTGGCAAATTAGATCTGATTACTTAAATGCACAACCAAACAGCCAAGTCTTGAGCGCCTTTACAAAAGGTCGCAGCTCCGACATTGCTCTAATGTATGGAGGCCATGAGTTCCTGCTTCATTTGGAGGAATGCTGCACTCGCAGAGCTCAGGCGGTGTTGAATTTCGGTGTCGATGTTGACTTTGGTGGAGAGGTGGCTGCCAAGGGAGCAGAAAGGGTCCACACTTTCTAATGTTTCACCATTAAGCTGTATCTCTGGCCTTGCAGAGGGATTGGCTGAAAGAGCACGTTGGTTTTCCTGATGTTCAATGAGAGGCCAAGCTTCCTGTATGCTTCTGCGAAGGTATTTAGAGTGGCTTGTAGGTCTTCTTCTGAATGCGCACAGATGACGTTGTCATCAGCATATTGGAGTTCTATTGATGAGGAGATATTGGAAAAATAGATATTGATTTATTGATTTATAAATTGTACGTACTCTATAAGCACTGAAATATATAGAAAAATCAGGCTCTCTCTGTATAAGAAACCCAAGCTAACAGGACAAGCAAGCTGCGTCCAGGCACAGCAAGAGAGGGGCTGAAGAGAGGGCATGTTATCTATACATTCCAGGAGAGAGAGATAAGCCTGTCCTAGCTGGGACAACTAGGCTCTAAAAGGAGCCTCCTGACAGGTCAAATGCAGGCCCCTGATGGATGCAAGCTGCTCCTAGGAATACACAGACACATGCCTTTTGCATGTTAGAAGATAGAATTTGATGCTAAGGTGACGCAGTGAATGGTGTCAACGTATGTAGACGTTTGTTCTTTGTTTGCTTGCATTTGGAATCTATAAAAGGCACAGTCAACGCCTATTTCATTGCTCTGGTGCTTTTGGAGAACTCCTCACCAGAGTCCCAGCTGGAAATAAAGCTGTACTTTTCGGCCTTGTCCACATCTCGGATTGTGGGTCTGGGTCCCCTTCTTTTTTCTGGAGGCTGATCTGTGTCGCGCTTTCCCCGCAGGCGGAGAGGTGTCCCAGGAGAGCCTTCTGCTCCACGGGCCTTTTGCCAGGAAGCCCAAGCGGATCCGGACGGCCTTCTCCCCGTCGCAGCTGCTGAGGCTGGAGCGCGCCTTCGAGAAGAACCACTACGTCGTGGGGGCCGAGCGCAAGCAGCTGGCCGGCAGCCTCAGCCTCTCCGAGACCCAGGTGGGTGTGGACTCAGGTCTCTGAGGATCGCATTGGCCTTTTGTGCTGCCGCATCACACTGTTGTTTCATGCCCAGCTTGTGGTGCATTAAGAGCCCCTAGATCAGGCATGGGCCAACTTTGGCCCTCCCTCCAGGTGTTTAGGACTTCAACTCTCACAGTTCCTAACCGTCTCCACCTTCTCCTTCCCTTTCCCTGTCTTTGTCTCTGCTTCCTTCTCCTTCCCTTTCTCTGTCCCCATCTCCATCTGTCTCTTTCTCCCTTCTCCATCTCCATCACCATCTCTGTCTCCATCTTTCTTCTCCTTTTTCCATCTCCGCCTCCACCTTCTCCTTCTTTTTCCCTGTCTCTGTTTCTGTTCTTTCTCCTTCCCTTTCTCTGTCTCCATCTCCATCTGTCTCTTTCTGTCTCCACCTTCTCCTTCTTCCTTTTCCCTGTCTCTGTCTCTGCTTCCTTCTTCCCTTTCTCTGTCTCCATCTCCCTCTTTCTCCCTTCTCCTTCCCTTTTTCCTTCTCCATCGCCTCCTTCTCCTTCCCCTTCTCCATCTCTTTCTCCATCTTTCTTCTCCCTTCTCCATCTCCGTCTCCACCTTCTCCTTTTTCCCTGTCTCTGTCTCTATTCCTTCTCCTTCCCTTTCTCTGTCTCCATCTCCATCTGTCTCTTTCTGTCTCCACCTTCTCCTTTTCCTTCCTTTTCCCTGTCTCTGTCTCTGCTTCCTTCTTCCCTTTCTCTGTCTCCATCTCCCTCTTTCTCCCTTCTCCTTCCCTTTTTCCTTCTCCATCGCCTCCTTCTCCTTCCCCTTCTCCATCTCTTTCTCCATCTTTCTTCTCCCTTCTCCATCTCCGTCTCCACCTTCTCCTTTTTCCCTGTCTCTGTCTCTATTCCTTCTCCTTCCCTTTCTCTGTCTCCATCTCCATCTGTCTCTTTCTGTCTCCACCTTCTCCTTTTCCTTCCTTTTCCCTGTCTCTGTCTCTGCTTCCTTCTTCCCTTTCTCTGTCTCCATCTCCCTCTTTCTCCTTTCTCCTCCATCGCCTCCTTCCCCTTCTCCATCTCCATCTTTCTTCTCCCTTCTCCATCTCCGTCTCCACCTTCTCCTTCTCCTTCCTTTTCTGCTTCTTGCTCCTTCCCTTTCTCTGTCTCCATCTCCATCTCCCTCTTTCTCCCTTCTCTTTCTCCTTCTCCATCCCGTTCTTCATCTCCATCACTATCTCTGTCCCTGTCTCCATCTCCATCTCCATCTCTTCCTTCTTCTCCTTCCCTTTCTCCTTCTTCTTCTCTTCCTTCTTCCTCATCCAGGTGAAGGTCTGGTTCCAGAACCGGCGGACCAAGTATAAGCGCCAGAAGCTGGAGGAGGAAGGCCCTGAGTCGGACCAGAAGAAGAAGGGCTCCCACCACATCAACCGGTGGCGCATTGCCACCAAGCAGTCCAGCGGAGAGGACATAGACGTCACCTCTAATGACTAGCGGAGTGATCACGGCAGGCACACCGCTCCCCTGGAAAGGACCATTGAGCGGGGGCAGAGACCACAGAACCTGGTCGTTGGAGGGGGGACAGAGCTGGACAGGAGCCCCCCAACTGCCAGCATTGGGGTCCGCAGGAGGAAGGACCATTCTGAGGGACACTATACTGCCTCTCCGATCTATGGGGACAGCAGTGGAGCTGGACAGCACCTACGGAGATGGAAGACAGTGGGGAAACCCCCAGAAATGCCAGGACACGGACCCTTTGAGCCCTATGAGGAGGCCCTCAAACACATGGATCTGCCAAGGCTTCCATTAGATACTCTCTCCTCCATGTTGGGCTTGGGCCGGATGGGTGTCCACGTTGTGATGGTGACGATGACTATGTTGAAGACCCAAAAGGAAGCCCGTCCCTCTCCCGTCTTAATTTATTATTTTGTGTCTATGTGTTTCCGGTGTGTACCTCTTCCCTCTGTCGTAGATGTGTATGTGTGTGTGTCAATGCGCACAAGTGTGGGCGGGTGTGTCTGTGCAATCATAAAGCAACCAACAGTCTCCCATGTTGGAAATACATCATCGCCTTATTGTGGATGCAGGGAAGGCCAGATGCGGAGGTCCCATCTGCACGCATGTCGACGATGTTCCCAAAGTCTTGCAATCATGCATCTGCGCCAGCGTGCGCCCTCCTGGTTTGGCAGGGATCGTTTGCAAGATTACACATCTATGATTGGATTTAAATGCTCTGCGCCACTGGGTTTGATGCTAATGCCTCTTGACCCAACTGATCCTCTGCCTTCCCAGTTTCCCAGCTGCTTTTAACATGCCCTGGTTACGTCTCTCCTTGCCCCATGCTCCTCTTTGCGCTCAGTTTACTTCCATTGCTGCAAAATGAGCCCAAAGTGCCAAAAATAACTCATAGAATCATAGTTGGAAGGGTCCCCAGGACATCATCCATTTAGCCAGGCAGGAAGACACAACCAAAGCACTCCTGACAGATGGCCATCCTGCTTTTGTTGAAAGACTCCAACAGAGTTTGAAGGTGTATTGTCGAAGGCTTTCATGGCTGGAATCACTGGGTTGTTGTAGGTTTTTTAGGGCTATATGGCCATGTTCTAGAGGCATTCTCTCCTGACATTTTGCCTGCATCTATGGCAAGCATCCTCCGAGGTGTGAGATACCGCACGATTCGATTCACCAACCTCTGAGGCGAGCCTCTAAGGTAGCCTCACAAACTCTGGGATGCTTGGGCAAGCATCCTCAGAGGTTGTGAGGATACCTCACAACCTCACAACCTCTGAGGATGCTCACGACCTCTGAAGGATGCTCACAACCTCTGAGGATCCTCTGAGGTATCCTCACAACCTCGGAGGATGCTTGCCATAGATGCAGGCGAAATGTCAGGAGAGAATGCCTCTAGAACATGGCCATGGCAATACATCTATGGCAATCATCCTCAGAGGTTGTGAGGATACCTCACAACCTCACAACCTCTGAGGATGCTCACGACCTCTGAAGGATGCTCACAACCTCTGAGGATCCTCTGAGGTATCCTCACAACCTCGGAGGATGCTTGCCATAGATGCAGGCGAAATGTCAGGAGAGAATGCCTCTAGAACATGGCCATGGCAATACATCTATGGCAATCATCCTCAGAGGTTGTGAGGATACCTCACAACCTTACAACCTCTGAGGATGCTCACAACCTCTGAAGGATGCTCACAACCTCTGAGGATCCTCTGAGGTATCCTCACAACCTCGGAGGATGCTTGCCATAGATGCAGGCGAAATGTCAGGAGAGAATGCCTCTACAACATGGCCATGGCAATGCATCTATGGCAAGCATCCTCAGAGGTTGTGAGGACGTAGTGAGCCTGCATCTATGGATGCTTGCCATAGATGCAGGCGAAACATCAGGAGAGAATGCCTCTAGAACATGGCCATATAGCCCAAAAAAACCTACAACAACCCAGTTGGAAGGGATTCCCACCCAGTCCAACCTAATTCGGCTAGGCAGGAAGGCACAATCCGATCCCTCCCAACAGATGGCCACTCAACCTCTGCTTTAAAACTTCCAGATAAGGGACACTTCCAAGCAGCAGAGGGTTCCACCACTGAACAGCTCTGAGCGTCAGGAAGTTCTTCCTAATATTTAGGTGGAATCTCTTTCCCTGCAACTTGAATCCTTTCCCTTCCCTGTCAACTCAGGCAAAAGCAAACTATTTCCAAGCATGGTTCCTTTTTGCAGTTGTGCCATATCTCCATTTGCAGCTTCAATATTTTATAATTAGGAACATGGCTCATCAACATCGTCACCATTTGCATATGGCGTGACACGCAAATAAGGAATAACCAATCAGGCGTCGCTTCCAAAGCAGGAAAACTCATTTTTTAAATAAAGGAATGTAGGAGAAGGAAGGGAGGAATTGAGAAAGTGCACAAATGCAATATAACACAGGTTGCGCACCCCTTACCTGGGATTCCGAAATCTCAAACCCTCCGAAATCCAAAATCCTGGGTGGCTGAGAGAGTCAGACCTTCGGTTTTCTGGCGGTTCAATGTACCCAAAGTTTGTTTCATGTACAAAATTATTAAAAAGATTGTATATAAAAATATATTTGGCTTATGTGTGTATATATACAAAGCATGGATTAATATTAAGTTTTGGCTTGTCTCCTATCTCCAAAGTGTATTGTTTTATATTGGAAACATACAGAATGAGGGACACGTGAAAAAGATCCTGGAGTTGTCGAAGGCTTCCATGGCTGGAATCACTGGGTCTTTTAAGTAGGAAGATTCTGGGAGTTGCAGTCCAAAAAGGAAATTCCCTAAGTGCTAGGGAGGATGACCTCTCCCTCTGGCCTCAACAGGGATGCTGTGTGTGGTTCATGGAAAGAGCTGGGCAGCAAGAACGAAAAGGAGGGAAGGCTCCGGGCTTTGTCTCTGCTCGGCCTCCCCTTTCCTGCTGGGGCTCCCCAGGTATGGCAGGTATGCCGGCCGCTGTGGCCGCTGGGGGTGGCTTCACACCTGCGGCGGGGATTGAATGTCCATCCCAAAACAGAGCGGCCTCCCCGGCATCCAGGTAAGTGCCTCGGGATGACGGATCAAAGGCGGCACCTGCGCTGGGCAGGAATCTCAGACATGCCTCAGAGTTGAGAGGAAGGAAGGAAGGAAGGAAGGAAGGAAGGAAGGAAGGAAGGAAGGAGAAGGAGAAGGAAGGGAACGGAAGGAAGGAAGGAAGGAAGGAAGGAAGGAAGGAAGGAAGGAAGAAGGCAGGCAGGAGAAGGGAATGAAAGTAAGAAGAGAGGGAGAAAAGGAGGGAGAAAAAAGGAAGGAATGGAGGAAGGAAAGGAAAGAAAGCAAAAAGGGAAGGAAGGAGAAAGGGGAAAGAAGGAAGAGGAGGAGACAAAACAGAAGGAAAAGGGGAAGGAAAGAAAGAAGGCTGGAGAAGGGAATGAAAGAAAGAAAAGAGGGAGGAGGAAAAGAAGGGAGAGAGAAGAAATGGAAGGGAAAGGAAGAGAAGGAAGGAAGGACAGAAGAAAAGAAGGAAGGAAGGGAAGGGAAGAAGAAAGGAAGGAAGGGGGAAGGAAGGAATGACAGAAGAAAGGAGGGAAGGAATGGGAAGGAAGGAAGGAGAAGGAAGGGGAGTGGAAAGAAAGGAAAGAAAGGGAAAGGAAGGAAGGACAGAAGAAAGGAAGGAAGGAATGGGATGGATGGATGGAGAAGGAAGGGAAGGAAGGCAAGGAAGGACAGAAGAAGAGAAGGAAGGAAAGAGAAGGAAGAGAAGGGAAGAGAGGAAAAGATGGAAGGAAGGACAGAAGGACGAAAGAAAAGAAGGAATGGGATGGAAGGAGAAGGAAGGGAAGGAAGGACAGAAGAAGAGAAGGAAAGAATGAGAAGGAAGGGAAGGAAATGGAAGGGAAAGGAAGGAAGGAAGGACAGAAGAAAGGAAGGAAGGAGAAGGAAGGGAAGGGAAGAGAGGGAAAGATGGAAGGAAGGAGAGAAGGACGAAAGGAAGGAAGGAATGGGATGGAAGGAGAAGGAAGGCAAGGAAGGACAGAAGAAAGGAAGGAAGGAGAAGGAAGGGAAGGGAAGAGAGGGAAAGATGGAAGGAAGGAGAGAAGGACAAAAGAAAGGAAGGAATGGGATGGAAGGAGAAGGGAGGCAAGGAGGCAAGGAAGGAAGGAAGGACAGAAGAAAGGAAGGGAAGGGAGGAGAGGAAAAGATGGAAGGAAAGAAGGATGAAAGAACGGGAAAAGAAGGAAGGAAGAGAAGGGTGGGAGGGGAAGGAAGCAAGGGAAGGAAGGAGAGGGAGGGAAGGAAGGGAGAGGAGAGGGAGGGGAAGGAATGAAAAATAAGGGAGGGCTTGGTGGCTTTCATAGGTTACCCCTCCAAACCCCTCTGAGAAGGAGGTCTACCCATAAATCGGCCGTAGGGAAATGGACAGCAGGAGGAGACCTAGCATGGTTGAGTTGTGGACGGAAACCTCTTTAGATCTGCTGAGAAGGCAAGCCAACACCTTTTCCCGACATTGTGTTAGAAGGGAGCCAGGACTTGCTCATTCCATGGATTCTCTCAGGTGCAGCTGTGCCTCTTCCAACTCAAATGCTTCCCCAGACCTTCCAGGTGAAATTGTCACCCAATGTGGAGCAGGGTTTGAATGCAAACGCCTTGGCGGCAGCAGTGTATCACTCCCTCTTGGCCATCATGAAAGAGGACAGAGTGGGGGGCCATGCATGGAAGATGGAAGGCAAGGGAGGAAGCATCCACACTTGTCTACAGAGAGCAACTGGGGACAGATGTGTCTTTGAGTCGTGGAGATCTTGCACCTGTTGACAAGATCTGCACGACTCAAAGTGTCCTGCTGCCTGCCTGCATGGAAAGGGCACACCCTCCTTCTTCCCAAAAGTCTTCAGCGTGTGTTGTACTTCCATTTATTTGAGAAGGAAGCACCTCAAGGCCTCTCTCTGCCTTCGAGATGCCTTAGGCACAGACCTGAAGGTCCGCATGAGGGACTCTTCCCGCAAAGTTCGGCCAACTTTCTTTTATCTACATACTCTTTCATCTAAAATGCATTACCTGCAAAAACAAACATTAAGTTTCTACCTCTTATTTGAAACCTTACCAGAGCTTCCGGCCTATTTCTTCTCTTGTTTCCTTCCATAATGTCATTGATAGGTATATAGATAGATGATAGATTGATAGATGATAGATAGATAGATAGATGATAGATAAATAAATAAATAGAAATATAGATTGTAGACCGATGGATGATAGATAGATAGATAGATAGATAGATAGATAGATAGATAGATAGATGATAGGATAAATGTTATATAGATAGATGATAGATGATAGATAGATGCATAGATAGATAGAGAGAGAGAGAGAGAAGGAGAAGGAGATAAGAACATAAGTGGATAGATGGATGGATGGATGGATGGATGGATGGATAGATAGATAGGATAGATAGATAGATAGATAGATAGATAGATAGATAGATAGATAGGATAGAATGTTAGATAGATGATAGATGATAGATAAATAGATAGACAGAGAGAGAGAAGAAGGAGGAGGAGGAGGAGGAGGAGGAGGAAGGAAGAGGAGAAGGAGATAAGAACGTAAGTGGATAGATGGATGGATGGACGGACGGATGGACGGACGGACGGACGGACGGACAGACAGAAAGATAGATAGATAGATAGATAGATAGATAGATAGATAGACAGACAGACAGACAGACAGATAGGAAGATAGATAGAGAGAGAGAAGGAGAAGGAGAAGGAGAAGAAGATAAGAAAGTAAGTGGATGGATGGATGGATGGATGGATGGATGGATGGGAAGATAAGAAGATAGATAGATAGATAGATAGATAGATAGATAGATAGATAGATAGATCAGGAGAGACAGACAGACAGACAGACAGATAGAGGTAGATAGATAGATAGATAGATAGATAGATAGATAGATAGGAAGATAGATAGATAGATAGATAGATAGATAGATAGATAGATAGATAGATAGATAGAGATAGATGACATGTAGATGGATGGATGGCGGATGGATAGATGGAAATAGAAAGATAGATAGATAGATAATAGATAGATAGATAGATAGATAGATAGATAGATAGATAGATAGATAGATGC